CAGCTCTCGCTGTCGGGAGGCGAAGTCTCGCCTGCATCTTAGGGGCTGAGGAAGCCGAAGAGCTTCCCCTCCTCCGCCTGTCGCCTCCCCGTTGCGTGCGGAGTTAGCATTGCGTGAGCCGGGGCTGGAAAGCCTCCAGCCATCTCCTCCCCGGGCCCCTACCCCTCCTCGCAATACCTGACACCAGCTCCGGGGAGAAGGAGGCTGGGAAGCGCCGGGCAGCTCGCACCTCGGCCGGCTCCGGTGCCCTCCGGCCTCGCCTCCGCCCTGAGTTCGCTTCTCTCCCGCTTACGGCGCCTTTTTACTCTCAAATCTGGCGCCTCCGCCCGCACTGGGAGAGCTGGCAAGAGGCGTGTGGGCACGGCGCTCCAAGCCCCCCCGGGCTTCCCGGAGCCCCGGGAGAACCGGGACTGCAAAACCCCCAGATATGGAGGAAATCGTCCCTCAAGAAAACAGAGACCCTAGAACTGGGAAACTTGCTGGGAAACAAAGCAACTCCCTTGCTTTGTTCTTGTCATTTTTTGCAGTAACAAGAAAAAGATGAAAATATAACATTTATTTCAGATTCCTTACAGTCACGTCATGAGAAGAAAATACAATGTTTTGGGAGCATTTAGGGATTAGACAAAATTAGATGCTGGGATTCAGCCCAGCTCAGGATGTGAGCCTGGTCCTGGCCAGGCTGCTACTGCTTCTGTCTTTGCTAAAAAGTGTAATCCTGCCTGTTGTCACTGTCCCAGGCTCTTCCAGACGGTGATGCTCCTTCTTGCTCAGACTAGCATCAGCTTTGGATCATCTGTTGGCTTGGAGCTTCTTCCTGTTATTGCCAAGTAACAGAGGTGTCAAAACCACTTTTTCTGAGCAGGGCTGGGAAAAGTGAGCTTTCCTTTCCCAGTCTCACTTCTAGGGTGAAGTGGAAGGATACTGCACACATACTCCCAGCTTCAAAAAATGAGCAAAGACAGCTTCATCCCTATGGGACTAAGGTTAGGGTGTTCTGATATCTCCATCACTATCAGAAGATTGAACCCAAATTTCACATGCTATAACCACTCGGCTATGGAAAAGTTGTCACTACTCCCTCCCTCTTCTCATGTCAAAGAAGAGACATCTTCTGGCAAAGTTCCAGAAAAAGATCTGGGTGGCACTGATTTTTTCCACCGAACAGAAGATCTGTTCCAGGCACTGGATCTGGGTGGTAAGGACTAGCTTGGAT